TCATGAACTGGCAGAGTGTCTTTCACAAGACGCAACAAACATATTGAAGCTTGTTACTTTACCGAGAAATTGATCTTAAAAAGTGAAAGAAAATTTTCTAACTTTGTAAGTCTTTAAACTTGCAATTCATAAAATGATCAAATTAATTATTTTCATATGCTTCAGGTAGTTGTGTTTTGTATTTGTTTATGTATATGTGCACTAAACATGCAAATCTGTGTTTGAAGAACACACTGGATGGCATAAATATGAACAGAAAATGACAGGAATAAATGAGCAAAAAATTCTAATAAGGCTTGTCGAAGCATCTCACACAGTAACAGGCATGTGTACTGTATGTATTACTGATGGAGGGTGCATGTGTGTGTACTGTATCTGTGTGTGTGTCTGTGGGAAAACACTGTAGCTGTGGTTGCATACTGCTGTGTGCACTGATTGATGGTTGCTGTCCATGCAGGCCTACATTTCTGAGTGGATTTGGAGTCATAGCACATGAGCAAACACAAGATGGAAGACTGTGGAACTCTCCACTACAAAGAATAGCAAGACTGTCTGCACCACATACACACACTGCACACCACACCCACAGATCCACTTCCCCACCTCCAGCGCTTGAAGATCTACCTGCCAGCTGCTGCCAGTCGCAGGGAAAGATGGGCTTTGTTGGTTTTGTGAAGCCCACCGACAAGACCCCCCTGGAGACTGCAGGTCTCTAGCAGCACAAGCCTCAGCCTTATCCACTTCGCCGCACAGGCAATCTGTTTTCTATATTGCCAGCCTGTATCACTGTACTATGCACTATAGAACAGCAATTGAGCAGGAAATTAAGTTAGGGGATCGGTATTTGGCGGAGGAGAACGAGCTGGTGTGGTCTTCCCTCTCCACATACAAGGATCATTAAATATCACATGAGTTCCTTGATAAATTTCCTCTTCTCCTCTCTCTGCTGTTCCCATCAACTTACTCCTCCACTTCATCCTCTCTTCTGTCTCTTTTCTTTCTTCCTCAATTTCCCTCTCATCATCTGCCCGTTTCTGTCTCGTCTTGCTGTATTTGTAGAGTGTATGAAACAAAACATCCTAATGGATGTTTGAACAGCTTGAGATGTGTCGGCCTGGGAACTACCTCCCTGTGACAAGGAGCTCTGGCAGGGAATTGAGACCATTACAAGTGGAAAAAATAGGGGACGTATTTCTTTCTTTTCCTCTTTGTTTATTTCTTTTCCTCTGTCTGGGTCCTCCTTCTCTGTAGTCCCTCTTCCGTCTCTGTCTATTTTCTCTCATTATTTCTCTGTACATACAAACAAAACACACAGTCTAAGTTTTTTTTGGATTAGCAGATGGGAAGGATTCATTTTTTGCCTTGTTGTCTTTCCTCCTCTTCTTTCTCTCTGTCCTCTTCTGCCTTTCTCCTATACTTACCCTTAACTGTTGTCAATGAGTAACTGTGTGCGCTCGTGAGTGTAAGATCTCCGTGAGGAAAAAGGAGAGGGAGCGAGCTAGGTCAGGACGTCACTATTCAAATCTGTAATAACTTTACTTTCATTTGAGCAGTGGCAGTTCTGGTGAGACGAATGAACATCAGCGTGCACACACACACATCTTTTTTTTTTTACTCCTGTGTGAATTCTTGGTTTTATTTTCTAGCACGAAAGTGGACTTTTTGTTTCTTTTATTAACTTCTTAATCATAAACCTCATTATTAAATGAATAATTAACTTATATTTCAAATTACTTTTAGGTTAATTTTGGGTATTAAAATGCCCCAGATCTCAATTAATGAAATGTATATTCATAGAAGACATTGATTCCATTGCCTCCTCTTCACACTTTCGAGTGGACTTCAGTGGGCCGCAGCGCATTTTGTGCTGAATACATTAATACAACTCTGTGAATTTTTATTGTTAATGTTTAAATGCTACTACCAAATTACTTTAAATTATTTGTATTTAATTGTTTCTTATTATTTAATGAACTCAAAATATTGTCCTCACGTAAAGATGTGACTCATATGGAAACGTAATGAGTTTCTTGCTCATAATAATAAAAGACATTGGCTTTTCTGCCTCCATCCAGAAAGACAGCGGCAGACACAGAAAGATACTCGCAAGGACAAAGAGCTCTTTACTGCTACAATCTAAGGTCAATCAGTAGGTGTTGACAGTTAAATTAACAGGTGCTACAAGTACCACTACATTTGGCTTCTGATTGTGTAACAATGAACAGATAGACCAATACACTGTGAGACAGATAATCAAATAAATCAATATCTATAAATAAGCAAACATAAAGAAAAAATATATATTGCTCTGGAGAAAGATTTATGACCCTCATTGGCCACATGGAACACACACACAGCATTCAAGGCTGTGCAGTGGTCAAGTTAGTGGGAGGCAGTCAGAGAGATAAGGATGCCAAACAGGTCTAAATCCCTCCTGAAGCGGTCTTGATGGACAGACAGGCCACCATTAACAATGCGGTGGCTTGTGAGAGCAGCAGCTGATGGAAAGATACCCTGGCATTTGCTGCGTTAAGAAGTGGCCCTTAAAGATTTCACACTTCCAATTTCTTTGAATTATCTGCCATCTCCAGCCTGTCACTCAGCCTGACAATCTCAGATTCATGCTCACTGAGGCACCAGGCTGGTTATTGACAAAGCAATCTGCCGTGATACAGCAAAGCCTGATAAAACATTAGTCAAACAACATGAAGTACAACTCTAGACCCACCTCACGCATGGTTGGATGCCCCAACTGTTCGTTTGCCCTTTTTTTCTTTAAATACATTTGTATTCATGTCTAATAAAATACACTGTGAACACAATATACTGAGTATGGGTTTAGTGTATAATCCTGGTGTTTTCAGGATGAAATGTGTACTTGTGCCATTCGACTTGAAACTTTGTGGCAATGTAGCAGAGAATCTCTATCATGTGTCGCCATTTGCTAGATTGTAACATCCAGAGCCAAATGGATTTGTTAAGGTCCACCTAAGGCAGCGATGACATCCAATGCTGTTTTGACACTGAACAGACTGCTTATCAGATCTTTAATGGTTTGATTCGCTTGCAGCTCCAGACAGGCCATGATAGAAATATCACAACATCCCCATTACCCTCAGCATTCAGTACATAGTGCACAGCCTGTGCTTTCTATGAATTATTAAAAGCAGACAGATTACGCTGCAAGGCTGGAAGTCTAGAGGCATGCTACAGATGCTGCTGAGCAAAACGGTAACATCAGAAGTGTGTTTTTGTGTGGTTTTTTTTTTTTTTTTTTTTTTTTTGAGGTCTGCATCAGAGAGAGTGGCCATTTGGATAGGTGTATGGCTACGAGGAAAAGAAAAAGGAAATAGTGGGTGGGGTTTGGACGTGTGTGTGTCTGTGCATGTGATGGGGGTGAAGGGCATAGTGTCAGGGCTTGTCTGACATGTGGCCTGGTGGGTTGGGTGGATGGTTGGTTTGCTGGCTAGATGGCTGGTTGGGTGTAGCCCAGCTTGAGCCTGGCAACTCTCTCTCTCTCTCTCTCTCTCTCTTTCCCTGGAGTGACGGGCTGAGACATTAAGACAGGCGTTTTAATTAACTGTGCCACTCTTCCACCTGCTGCCCTCAATATGCTCTGGCCCAGGCAAGCTGTCTCTCATACCACCGAGTCTCTTTCTCTCTTTTTGCTGCATCTTTCCCATTTCGCTATCATTTGTCTACTCTTTCCCGTTCTTTCTCGTCTTTTCTTTCCAATTTTCAAATCTCACCCTCCATCACTCCGACTTGCTCTCCCTAACCTCTCGTTTCTATCCCCTGTGCATCCCCCCGCGGTTTGACCCTAATAAATGAAGACTCATACCGATATACGGCGATCCCAGGCTCATATGACAGAATTAGCCAATTTCTTTTTTTGAACTTGGAGAGAATTAATTTCTACATGTGTCCTGTTCTACTGACCCTCTAACTACCCCTCACCCATCCCATACACACACATACAGTGTGCACACACACTCTCACGCTCTTCAAATCTATCTGGTAATTCAGTTCTGCCCGACACTCATCAGGCTATTCATTAAGGCCTGATTGAAGATGGATATTTCTGTTCCCTCATGACAGAATGGAGCTAGGGATCAAACTGGGGACATTACAGGATTTAGGAGAGCAATTGTAACACACAGCAGCTTCGTGTGTGTCTGTACACTTGGACATGTGTGTGAATGCGTGCTCATAAATGTTTGTATTAATATGTGTAAATGTATGCCAGGCCATTTAAGAATCTCATTTAGTGCTGTGACTCCTATAGTTTAATCATTTAGATCATAAATTTAGAATTAATTCAAACAGAACGGAGCAACAAATGATCCACTTTTAGCACTATACTTAAATTGTATTACACTTTTAATGGGGTTAATAATAGACGGCATTAGCAACACAGGAAAACGACTCTACAAAGTGTTGTATTAAAAGGATTAATGTCCTCCCTTCAGAATTAAAGCCAGGTCTTGAAGATACAGCTAAAACTAACAAATGGCCTAGCACTGGCTCCACGATGGGGCCTCAGTCGCAGCCATACTACAGTAAGAAGACAGCAACTGGGGCCAATATATCAGCCAGGCAGACAGAGAACATTCGTCTGCTGTGTGAGGAGAAGTGACTTTGAAGTTCTCCACAGTGAGGTGAAAGAGCAGCCATGGCCTCAACCTCTGTGTTTATGTAGCCGCACTAGCCCTGGGAGAGCTCTAAATGAATGATGTGGATAGATGGACACCACAGCTAAAAGCACACACTCACGCGTCTGTGTGAGGGCCAAGACACACACCAAGGATTTACGCATACTTTATGTTGAGGTCATGGACATGTCTGCGTGTACGGAACATGCAAGCATGTACTCTGTCTCTATGTACTAGAAAAATGCATATAACAGCAGGCAGAAGGTACTGTTGGATTTAATGAATGTAGAAAATGGTTGTATTGCACCGTATTACACTCACAGGTTTCAAACATAAGCAGAGACTAACCTGTTAGAAGCAGGCTATGCCAACATCCTCCAGCAATGTCTCTCACTGCCGAGCTTGATAGCGTCACTTCCTCTGGGAACAGGATGTTCCTCTTTATGTTCCCACATGCCCGTCCACAGCCCCACTGAAACAACCTGCCGTCACCTGCATGTCATCCAATGGGTAAATTAATAGTTTTCCATTTGAGCAAAGAAGTAATGATGTAATCAGCAGATTATTTCTGCAAATTATTTCAATGTCATTTCCAAAATCGCATTCTAAAATAAATGTAGTACACAAAGGTACTTTCACAATATGACATTTATATGATAAAATAAACTGACTGACTGACACTGTGTAGTTCCTTTATTAATTATAAAGCATAGCACGGGCCTCCAACGCCCTGCAGCTCATCTTGCATCTCTGTCAACCACACCTCTAGTAGCATGTTGTCCTTGTTGTGCTGCTGCTGCATGGGGCCTCTGGTGATAAATTATGGATGCAATGCAAAAGCTGTAAAATTTGTTGTATCTTCCATTATCTTCATGTTAAAGGCCACAAAAGCTCTTCAGTGAAGTCAGCCATTAAGAAATGACAGGTATTGCTATCAGCCTTCTTTATAGCCTATTACCTGCAATGACAGCAGCTGCTGCTGCACCACTGTACGGCCTATCACATTATTTGCAGCTAAAGTCAGCTACTGTGTCATTTCGCCTCATTTTCTTGACAGTGCTATCATAAATCCATTGGGCTGCAGGGGAAACTGTCGACTACCTCGATTATCTTCATAGCCTGAATGAATTCTGAAATGTATGTAACAGGCAATGACTGTTATGGATCAGGAGCCAGGGCCATATTCTCACTAACTCTCTCTCCCTCCTTGTCTCTCTCTCAGGTGATGTGCCAATCGAGGGCTTGAGGGCTCTGATATTCGCATAAAATTGAGTAAAATGGGTGAACTTTGAAGCACACAGTGACAGCTCATGACTAGTGACGTCAGCTCCCTACATAAAGATATTGTCCAGCTGAATCTGGCATATTAGGTGAAGGGTCAATGATACGATCCACTTCTTCGCATATTCAATAAAGAGAGGTGAGTGGTACAGGACATACACACTGTAACATGGGGGAAAAAAGCAAATATTTGAATCCTTATCTATTTGATGCTGATATGACACTTGAATGTTGTGTATCATAGCAGTCCTGCACAGTGCATTGCTGTACCTGTCAGGGCAAGATTGTGGTTTGAACCACAGGTGACCTTCGACACATGGTGCACACACTCCACAAAGCGAGGGACGACCACATTTTCATTAGACCCACAGCCTATTTGTCCATAATCATTCTGCCTGTAGGGAGAAAAGTATAAACAGATAATTAAAAACATAATTAATTACCTGCGGGCATCACCTTCATACTTTTTTATCACATCTCTTATTACATCTAAGTTACATACAACAATTTCATAGCATGAATATTTCCATTTCTATATGGTAAAATAAATAATGAAATCAATTAAACTATTGCAGTGAGCAGCTTCCACTGGGGACTGTGGAACATATGCGCTTCCTCCCATTTCGCCGAATCCTCTTTGTGACAATAACGAGACACAGCCCTATCAGAAGTGAAACACCTCACTAACTAATTAGACTCTCAGGCTGCAGTCTGACAAAATAAAAAGAGAAAAGTGCTTGAAGGAAGACTTGCTCTCCCGCAATTTGCATCTGCCACTTTTTACTGCATCTGTTCCAAGTGCCATTCAACATTCTCTTCCTCCTTTTGTTGGGTAGTGTTGAGCCCCAACTATTTAAGCTCACCTCCTACCTACCCAGAGCTTTGTTCCTGCTCCTCTGCAGGCCAGTAATGAGCCAACCGCCACAAAACCGCTAGGAAATTAATGACTCATTACGGACGGGGCCTAGACCACTCCACAGCCTCTCCTCTCCTCCCCTGCTCCACCCCACATGCCCGCATGTAATCCTCTCTCTGCACCTCTTTCTCTCTCTTACTCTCATCCCTTCAGCCCATACAGAAAGACCCCAACACCTCCCTATCAATTAGAGCCTATTACAGGGCTCCCATGCTAGCAGGGCAAAGAAAGAAGGCCTTCACAGCTCAAGAGTGTGTGCAGGAGAGATTGGGAGGGTTGAATGAGGTGCCTTAAGGTGCTCCTTTCACACCCTTGCCCTTATCCATTATGCCAGTCTGTAGAGCCCCCTAGGAGAAACGTGCAGCCCCCCAAAAGACTTAGGGATGAAAATAAGTCAAGGGAGGGATTCTTGGTCACACCTTTTCACTTTTCCTTCCACTCCAGCGTAAAATTATATCATAACTAGTCCTTAAAGCAACATGGTCACTGTGCTCTTACTTTAAATGGATAGTTAGAAAAAGACGAGCTCTAAATAATATGCATTAATCATACCATCTGTGTCTGTTTTTATGGACGGACAGACCGAGACAGATATTAACAAGATAAAGCAAATGGTGGACAAGCACCTACACATGAAAATTCATGTGGTTATTGATTTCTTTTTGTTACACTCCCTTTACCCTCCATTGCATTCCCCCAGGCAATACCTTCTTATTCATGTCACTGTTGGTCTTTGTTCAGAGCAAAATATACTGTTCTACATTGCCAGCATTTTAGAATATCTTTCCTTTTTTTCCCTGATAGGATATGTATCAGCTTTTCATTCAAGCATGCTATGTTCATTGGCTTTTGAAGCTATGGTGCATTCCAAGGCAATCCCTCCGAGAGTGAATGGGTAAGATCACATGGGTTTGAGGTGGTTTAGAATGGCAAATCCTGCTGAAAGTGTCATTTCCAGTCGGAGACATCAATTTGGTGTGTGAAACAGGGCCCCAGGAGAGCCCGATAGCCTCGGAGATTCCTGACAAGAGCAAAGGGCCTGGGGATCAACTCAAACTCACCTGGATGAGACGGGAATTTCACAAAGCGCTTCAAATACATGGAGCAAAGTGAGAGAGAAGCAAGAGCGGAAGAAACATGATCGACAACCCAGGAAAAAAAGTGCAGGGAGAATCTATAAAGAGAGGACATACTTAATATCACTCCAGCGGTATATGATGAGGCTTTGTACAGAATACAGCAAGTTATAGTAATGCCATTAGACTTATTTGTTGGAACAAACAAATCATGATTTACATTTTACATTACATTTTATTTATTTAGCTTTTATCCAAAGCGACTTACAATTGCTATATATTAGAGGTTGCACGCCTCTGGAGCAACTTGGGGTTAAGTGTCTTGCTCAGCGACACAGGCAAAAGGAAAAATCCCAGAGAAAGACTCTTACGTGCACTACTAAAGCACATCAGGTTAGAAGTGAGGTAACTACTTGTCCTTTTTGACTTTCATACTACTGTATACAGTAGGTGTTTGCATTAGTAAAAAATACACAAAACAGGAGTTGATCAATCACCTCCATCTGGGGAGGATTATCTAAGCACATAAGTATGGTTAATAGGAAGATATTAAAACACTGACATGCACAAATTAAAAATGTAAATTATTGGCAGCATTATTTCTGGCCAAACATTTTGGTAACAGTGTACAAAAGCAGTGGTATTAACTCTAATATAAAGCCTCAATTAGCAAAAGTGAGAGCAAAATGGCTGATAATTATTGCGCCAGCTCATTAGACTTGTTTTGACACTAAAACCACTTAAATCACTACATAGTCATACACACAAGCACAGATGCAAATACACACATGCAGATGTTAAGAGTTTATTCCCATCATAATGAGGCAGACACTGTACAGGTTGGGTTTTACTTGTTTAGATGAAAAACTAAACACTTCAAACTAGATTTAATAGGGTTTTACCATCACATGAGCAATTTATAAATGTGTCTATGGATGGTAAATTTAACGAACTGATACCTTGTACAAAAATGAATAGCACAGGATGGTCATGCAGTGCATTATAGTACACCATAGATCTAGTTAAAGACACACAAATGCATGTGTTTCAATAGTTTTTTTTTTACTTCACAAAAGGCAGAACGAGGCCAACTCAAAAAGCTCATCTAGTTTTGAGTTTCAACAAGGTCTCAGTATAGAAAACAATAATACAGAAGTTAATTACAAAGTCATTCAACTTTAGAAGACATAACCTGAGTAAAGCAAACAGGATAACACTGTTGACTCTGAATATATCATGTATGAAATGGTGAAGAGCACAAAAGCAAGACAATCCTCTGCTGTGCCAGCTATACATCTTGGCTAATAATGATACAGACTCCAAAGGAATAAAATCCTTGGGGCCGGCCATGAAAGTTTAAGATTCAATGCGGTAAAATACAATGTGCCATAAAATATTAATGTGTGTGGTAAAATTATGCTGGTGGTAATATTTTAGATTGCTGCTGTCTGTAAAAGAGGCATATCTGTATTTATTTACAAGCAGGGGTAGTGGATGGGGGGCTTTGTTTGAAGCCACGTTTATGAATATCGACTCAGGCTCCTAGGTAAGTGGCTATAAATCTGAGAGAGGATCTTTGTAAAGTTCCCTTGGAGGACATAACTTCAGGTCTAACCGCCTCCTTCCTTCACTTGACTTTTAAACATTTAGATGTAGCCCGGCCAACTGCATTTAGAGCAGCTTCTAAATTATGAAGGGTTCCATTTTGAGAGTCCAAGAGTTAACCAATCAAAGTTGATAAACTGTGGCAATAGATTTCTTTAGGATAGAAACAGAGGTGTGTTGGGCCCTTGATCTAGAGTGTTTGAGTTTGGAGAATACTGAAATGGATCTCTGTACATGCTATCTGCTATGTTCCAGATGTTGCTTTGGATGTACTCAGAGGAAGATGCCCTTATACCCATACGATCCACAACATACACCCACACTCCTTGAAATATACTTACACCAGATCCGGTGCTACACTTTTCATTATTTTCCAAGTAGGCATATAGCATTTAACTTTTAAGCCCAATCTTTCTATGCTCTCTCTTTGGGTATGATGATGAAAAGGGTGAACAACTTGAAGCAGAGAGCATGACCTGTGCTAATGAGAGCATTCCTTGTTGATCAAAACGCTCATGTATCTCATATCACCTTAGGCTATCGAGACCAGCTGGAAGAGTTCTGTCCACACTGGATGAACCTTTCTCGGGTGACTCATTCACACCTTCTTTTCCTTTTTTTCCTCTGCACTGCATGTTTGACATGTTTATCTATTTATTTTGGTTCAAGGTTCTGAAGTTCAGATCACAGGGGTGATTGCATTAGTAATGGTGGTACGGTTGGCTGACTGTGAGATGACGGACACAGAGGTCTGTATCCCCTGGCTACGATGATCACATATGAGCCAGGATTAAGAGAACTGATTTCTTTCCTGGTTGAGTTCAAAGGGCTCAATCAAAGTGCTTCACTGCTGAACTCTTGCGCCCCAGCCCCCCACTTTAAATGCACAAGTGGTGATAAGGTTGAGCCATGAGAAAACACCGTTTTTGGTTTTTCTGCCTGGTGATGTACAGAGCAACAGTTGATGTCACCATGCACTAATAAATAAGATGGAAGGCTGCATTGATCCAACCATCTAATTCCAAGAAAATAGCTTCCTCCTGAGCTAAACTGGAGAAAATTGACAACCCCTCAACCCTCCACCCTTCCAATTCAAGCCCCATCTCTTTCTCTTTTATTCCCTTGTCTTTCTTTCTTCATTTCTTCCCATTTCCATTGCTTTCTCAGGGCTAATCTAGCAGCCTCTACATTTACGTAGACCCCAGCAATCTCTCCCGCACCATTCTGTCACTGACATTAGCTGACACTAGGTATCAGTTCACACCCTCAACACACAGAGAGAGGTGCTAAACAAGAACTTTAGGACATGTCACAGCACACTTAAAGGGTTTCTCAGTGATACAGAAGGACTGAATAGAGCATGTTCACTCAGTAACACACATAAGGCATACCGTACATGATCAATTCTACTTGTCTTGGCTTTAAAATAGTACAATAAATAATTATATGTTTTAATTTAAAATATAGTGTAACATTTACACTACATTTGAGGTTTTTTTATCCAAATGTAATACTCACTATCATAAGCCTCTCTTGGTACTGAAGAAATAAATACTTCCTCTTCTGCAATTTAAACCTCTTTTTTTTTTTTTTTTTCTGAGAGACCATGTGTGTTTGCAGTTATGGTGGTTATAGTGTGCTTCTGAGATCTAATGCAATTATGCTATGTTCAGTGTTTAATCAGTCTTGATTACCTGTCGAATGTGGCAAATAGGCAGCCTCCTGGCTCTTGGAGACATGAAGGTTTGAGTTGCAGTAATTAAAAGTGATGCAGAAATGAGAGAAAGATGCTAAACAA